TAGAATGGCGTACTCGACCCAGTCCATTCTGTGCTCGTCCAAAAACTTCAAATTCAACATGGCGTCCGAAATTGATCCAATTTTAGTCCGAGCATTGAATCTTTTACACTCAAAACATCCTAAAGCTTTAGAACAGCTGTGTGCCTTGCGAGACGAAGCATTGGGGAAGAAGCCAGAATTTGTTCCTGAGGTAAGAAAATATCTGATGTGAAATAGCTTTGAGTAGTTGCGAAAATAGAAAATACCTCGACTGTCATACTGTCACTGACAGTGCTAGTAGAATGGATCGCCTCCAATCTCTGTTGGCTTGCTAGCTCAACAAGTAGATCGGTGAACCAGACTCCTACAGTTGCTCGCTTTTGCAATATACATATATTATATTATATTTGTATATTATATAATATTTGTATATTATACTGTACAGCCTTTGTTTTGGTTAGGTACTTAGGTAGTGCAGGGCTGCCCGACTGGAAAGTTTGGAAATTGTGCGCCGGAGATTTCCAAAATTTAATAGTAAATATATACAAACTTTCCACACTGGTTAAGGGCTGTCCGTATTAAATTGTACATTACCGTATTTACTCGTTTGCGTGCCGCCCCCGATTGAGCTCCGCCCCCGAATGAGCGCCGCATTTGAGACCAAATTTTTTAAAGAGCGCTGCCCCTGAATGAGCGCCACACTAAACAGTGTAACAACTTTCCACCGTCAAAATGGGGACATTTAGTGACAAAGACATTTAAAACTTGTTTATTTTATTGTTAAATGTTCTTCTTATAATTCACAAATAAAACTTTTTTTAAAGAGCGCCACCCCCGATTGAGAGCCGCACCCGAATGAGTGCCGCATCTGAAGCTCTGAAAATTTAAAGAGTGCAGCGGCGCTCAGACGAGTAAATACGGTATTTAATAACGCAGACTCACAGAGTATATTGCAAGTGCACAAAGTGTTATTTTCTGCTGGCTAAGGTACGAAAGAAGCAGAAAATGTTGTCTCACACAAGGCCGGGAGCCCGCTTGTGAATCAGGTGGTGCAGGTTAATTCAGCACACGTTGCTTGACAAAAATTCCCACCTGTTAGTTATAGACATTTAGCTTGTTATGCACAGTGAACATTTATATAACTAAACAGTAATAATAACTCCTCAGTAATTTTTATGTGAGTAACGTAATTACATTGCAGAGCTATGTATGATTAGCTGTGTTAGCTGTTAGTCAAGCTTGCGGCGGATGGCTGTAGCAGCTCCCAGCAGTGTGTGAGAACGAGAATTTTAATTGTCCAATAACTTTGCACACTTGAATAACTATATGTATGCCTGCACAACTAGTATTTGTTGCATATTATTGGCAATTTTTAAACACCTGGGGCCCGTTGTATGAAGGCCAGATAGCGCTATCCACCGGATAGTGATTTTTTCAACCTTTGAAAAAATGCTTGCAAAACTGTAAAACTACGGATATAGACGACATAAGAAGTATAAAAAACATTTAACTTATAAATAGTAAACTTTAATGCGAGTTACACCAATCAACGACTGATTTAACAAAGCTTGAAAAAATCACTATCCGGTGGATAGCGCTATCCGGCCTTCGTACAACCGGCCCCTGAGCTCTTGTTGAAAACTGCCATACTCGGCAGTTTGGGATTCTGACTTTTGCGAAGTCGTTCATCTTTACTTGAAACAAATAGAATAGAGACATGACCAGTCCTAGCCAATGTACTTACAAAAGGCATTCACCCCCTGGATGTCTACCATTTTGAATATTTTCAGGGGGGTGAATTCCTCTATGTGCCTGAGAAATCCAAGTCCAACGTTAATTGATATTTAAGCCCAGCCAGTCTGAACCATTACATTCAGTCGTGGCCAATCAGAATCAACTACCCAGATTTGGGTAGCGCAGCTGGGGGTCGACAAGCAATGCTACAATTACAGCATAATACAATGTGTACAGTACACAGGCTAATAAATAAAAGACGTCCTGTAAAATATATTGTGTGTGCTAGAAAAAGAAGGAGGAAGTCAAAGAAGCTGTTCACATGGAAATAAAGAAAACTGGAGATGTAATAACGATATCCAGCGATTCTGACAGCCCAGCCATCATCGAGGAAATTCCAGAGTCCTCGACACAAGTGTTGGGAAATGATGACACAGATGGCATCACAGAAACCGTGGAAGTAGAGTCGTCATCGTTAGCAACTAATGATCATCCTAATGATGAAATTATGGAAACGGTTGAAGAGCTAGGTTTGTAGTGATGAATAATCCCCCCATGGAGAAAATTGAAAGTTGACCCCATTAATTTGCATTGTGGCCCAATGCGCCCTGCTTTATTATTTACTCTGTCTAACACCAGACGATTTTACTCGTCAAGGGGAGAGCGTTGGCGATCTATGGGTTAACCCCCTACCTGTCTACAGTGCCCTTTTTTTAGGATATGGAACCAAAACCACGGGATATTTTTTGTTGTTGGACCTAAATTTTTGTATCGATGCATTACCGTAGGTTTGGGTTTTGTTGAAGAGACTTTGGAAGAGTTAAGCTCAAGTAATCTGTTGGTGAAGAGAAAAAGGCCAAAATTAGAAATCAGTACTGAGAATGCAATATTTGACGATTTGGAGGTCGTGTCTCGAGAGAGTTCGCCAGATCACGAAATGTCGGCTGATTTGGCGGTTTCTAAATGTATTGTCTGTTCAAGGTAATCAACACGCATCCCTATTGAGCAGGGCTCGAATTTTATCGCGGCAATTGCCGTAGAGGGAGACCAAAATGCCGTGGATCATTGCGGCAACGACGGCAATTTTTTGCCGTATAGTGCAATTTTTATACTATTCACTGTGCATTACTATTTTGATACTTGAATTCAGAAGTTGATCAAATCATGCGTAAATCACTATTTTAGTCTCAGTTTTCTTAAAAAAAAAACCAACTCAAGAAATACGTAGACATGTTTCTAGCTTGTCATAAATCCAAAGTAACAATAAAATTAAAGTTTTATTACAGTAATTTGAAAAATGCCGTGGAAACTGTCAAAATTGCCGTAGACCGCTGTTACGTTCTACGGCAATTTTTAACGCTATTGCCGTCGATTGATTTCAGGGAAATTCGAGGCCTTCTATCAGGGGCGTAGGAAGGGGGGGCACGGGGGGCACGTGCCCCCCCCCCCCAATTTTTTCAAAGGACTAAAAGTGCCCTTTTTTGTGATGAGAAGTGCCCTTCTTTGTGATGAAAAGTGCCCTTTTTGTACAAGCTAATGTCGCTGTAAATACTAAATTAACATCAAAGGTGCCCTTTTTGATTGGAAATTTCCAAGTTTTTTAAAAAAAATTTGGTCAAAAACGTGCAATTTCGGTATGGTAGAACGG